ACTCTTGTGTCAAGAGAGGACACTCTGCTAAACGCTGTCGTCAGAGTTCTTCTGGGTCTGGAGGCGGCAGGCAGGGCACTCTCGCGTCACCCCAGGTAGCACAAACCCACACTCATTCAGAGCCCTCTGCTGCGCACTTCACCATACCCGTCACCTTCCCTGATTACGCGGTAGTTCCCCAGTGTAAGGCGCTGGTCGATTCATGCGCAGCTGGGAACTTCATGGACAGGTCTTTAGCTAATAGTCTATGTATCACATTGGTTTCCCCTAACCATTCCATTGCCCATCAAAGCACTTGACAATCGACCATTAGGGTCAGGCTATGTTAGGCAGGTTACAGCACCAGTCACGATGATTATTCAGAAGACCCATAGGGAACAAATCACCTTTTTTTATTATTGAGTCCCCTGATTTCCCTGTTGTGTTGGGTCTTCCCTGGCTCACACTACATGACCCCACCTTTTCATGGCCGCAGAGGGTTCTCACGGGGTGGTCGCGAGAGTGTCAGGGTAGGTGTCTAGCTGTTTCCGTTGGTGCAACCACGGTGGAAAGTCAGACACTACCCTCCACCGTGCGCATTCCCCCCTGAATACCTCAACTAGGCGCACGTGTTTTCCAAAACGCAGGCAACCAACTTACCACCACATCGGGCAGGGGATTGCGCGATAAACCTCCGGTTAGATGCTGTGCCTCCCAGGAGTCATGTCTATCCCCTGTCGCAGGCTGAAACAGAGGCTATGGAGACATACGTCTCCGAGTCCCTGCGCCAGTGGTTCATACGTCCCTCCACTTCACCCGCCTCCTCAAGTTTCTTTTTTATGAAGAAGAAAGACGGAGGTCTGCACCCCCTTGCATTGATTACCGGGCACTTAATCAAACTACCATTCGCTATAGTTACCCTCTACCCCTCATCTCCTCTGTTATTGAATCAATGCATTGGGCGCGCTTCTTCACAAAATTAGATCTCCTGAGTGCGTACAACCTGGTGCGTGTCCGGGAAGGGGATGAGTGGAAGACAGCATTCAGCACAACCACGGGGCATTATGAATACCTGGTGATGCCGTACGGGTTGATGAATGCTCCATCAGTCTTCCAGTCCTTTGGAACGAGGTGTTTCGGGACATGGTTGGTCGCGGTGTGGTGGTCTACATCGATAACATTCTGGTGTATTCCGCTATGCGCGCCGAGCATGTGTCCCTGGTTCGCAGAGTGCTGGGCCGACTGTTGGAACATGACCTTTATGCCAAGGGAGAAAAGTGTCTGTTCTTCCAACAGTCCGTCTCCTTCCTCAGGTGTGGAGATGGAGGGAGACCGCATTTCAGCCATGCGTAATTGGCCGACTCCAACCACAATAAAGGAGGTGCAGCGCTTTATTGGCTTTGCCAATTACTATCTGAGAATTTATCCGGGGCTTTGGAAAGGTCGCAGCTCCCATCACCTCTCTGTTGAAGGGTGGGCCGTCCCGGCTCCGCTGGTCTACTGAGGCTGACAGGGCTTTCAGTAACCTGAGGGCTCTGTTCACCTCAGCCCCGGTACTGGCCCATCCTGATCCATCATTACCGTTCGTAGTGGCGGTGGATGCATCCGAGGTGCTGTCCTATCCCAACGCTCGGGCACGCCACCCAAGCTCCGCCCCTGTGCCTTCTTCTCTAAGAAGCTCAGCCCGGCAGAGCAGAACTACGACGTTGGTGATCGGGAGCTGTTGGCTGTTGTCAGAGCCCTGACCGCGTGGAGGCACTGGCTCGAGGGGGCGAAACACCCTTTCCTCGTCTGGACTGACCACCGTAACCTGGAGTACATCTGGGCAGCGAGGAGGCTGAACCCTCGCCAGGCCAGGTGGGCCTTGTTCTTTACCCGGTTTGATTTCACGTTGTCATACATACCAGGTACTAAGAACGTGAAGGAAGACGCGCTGTCACGGCTGTACGACACAGAGGAGAGGCCCATTGACAACAACCCCATACTCCCAGCCTCCTGCATTGTGGCACCGGTGGTGTGGGCAGTGGACGCGGACATAGAGCTGACATTACGCACAGAGCCATCTCCACCTCAGTGTCCAGCTGGGCTGCGTTACGTGTCGTCTCTTGTCCATGATCGTCTTATCTATTGGGCACACACGTCCCCATCCTCTGGTCATCCAGGTATCGGCCGTACAGCGTGCTGCCTTGTTGTGGACCGCTTTTCTAAAGCCTGCCACCTCCTTCCTCTGCCCGGTCTCCCCACGGTCCTGCAAACTGCGGAAGCCCTGTTTACTCACGTCATCCGGCACTACAGGGTGCCAGAGGAAATAGTGTCTGACCGTGGTCCCCAGTTAACATCCAGGGTCTGGAAGGCGTTCATGGAACATCTGGGGGTCTCGGTCAGCCTGACCTCTGGGTTTCACCCCGAGTCTAATGGGCAGGTGGAACGGGTGAATCAGGATGTGGGTAGGTTCCTGCGGTCCTACTGCCAGGACCGGCCAGGTGAGTGGTCGGTGTTCTTGCCATGGGCCGAATATGTCAAGAACTCTCTCTGCCACTCCTCCACTAATCTATCTCCATTTCAATGTGTTTTAGGTTATCAGCCGGTCCTGGCACCGTGGCATCAGAGCCAGACCAAAGCTCCTGCGGTGGATGACTGGTTTCGGCTGCCCACGTCCACCTCCAGTGCACTTTGCATTGCCAGAAGGCCAACGCTGACCGCCACAGCAGTGAGGCCCCAGTCTTTGTACCGGGTGATCGGGTCTGGCTCTCAACCCGGAATCTGCCCCTCCGCCTGCCCTACCGGAAGCTGAGCCTGTGGTTTGTGGGGCCGTTCAAAGTCCTGAGGAGAGTAAACGAGGTTACGTACGTACTACTCCCTCCTGATTACCGTTTAACTCCTCGTTTCACGTGTCTCTCCTCAGGCCAGTGGTGGCTGGTCTGCTCCAGGAGTCTGAGGTGCGGGAGGTCCCTCCGCCCCTCTGGACATCGAGGGGGCCCCAGCGTACTCCGTCCGTTCCATCCTGGATTTGAGGCGTCGGGTGGGGGGCCTTCAGTACCTCGTGGAGTAGGAGGGGTACGGTCCGGAGGAGCGGTGCTGGGTCCCAGTGAAGGATGTCCTCGATCCCTCCCTGTTGTGGGATTTCCACCGTCGCCATCCGGCTCGCCCTGCTCTGCGTCCTCCTGGCCGTCCCCGAGGCCGGTGTCGGCATGCTGCTGGAGCTGCGTGTAAAGGGCGGGGTACTGTCATGACTTCCTCCGAAGCTGCCTCCTCTCCTTCGGCGTTCATCGTTACCGGCCTTCTTGCCACTGCCGCTCCTCATCTCATCATTCCATTTGTTTTGTCTTGTTTATTACACACACCTGGTTCATATCCCCTCATCAGTACCTGTATAAGTATTCCCTCTGCCCCCATTGTCTTTGTGTGTGATTGTTTATTGTGGAGGTTACTATAGCTCGGTGGAGCTCTATTGTATTTTGTATCTCCGGGATATTCACCCATGTGCCTTGTTTTCTCCAGTGCCCCGTATTACCGCACTGGAGTGTTTTACGCATTGCTGCGTACCGCTGTCTTACCGAATAAACTATTTATTCTGTGATTTACTCTCCTGCGCCTGACTCCGTCCAAATCACCCGCCACAGTACATGTGACCTAAAGTAACCACATGTGGATATAGTTGTAATTCAATTCCAATTACAAACCATTCAGCCTAACGGAGTGACAGGCTACATGGAGTAGGCTATCTAGATAATATGTTGCTCACATGGCAAAAAAAATTACATTATTTAAAATAGTATAGCATAAAACATCACTCCTCTTCTTTTATAATGTAGCCTATAATGTGGCAATGAAGACCATGGCCTCTGTGATGTCAAATCTAGTTGCATTTTTATTTTATTTTAAAGCTCACAGTATTTCTGCTCAAAGGACAAATCTAGGCTATTTAATGTTTAGGCTACAGGGACCACCTTTGTCAGGGGGAAATTGTGTGAATTGCTGCTTTGTTTTCTAATGTGGAGTGTTTAATTGGGTTTCATCATTAACAAGACAATTAATTAATGCACATTTAAATTGGTAGATTTCACATGTCTAGTCTTAGTCCTATCAAACCTGGGAAAGCTGTTAAGAAGTGGAGTGACATGCAGATGGACACATTTACTTTAACAAAATCAAATTACATCTAAGCCTAGACTGAAATAACAATGTATATTTAATTGAACAGTATTGTCTGCTCTTAAACGTCAGGACAAAATGACAGTTCATTTACATTTAGAATGTGTGACGTTATGTAGTATTAAATCATTATTCAACACTATTGGTCTGAACTCATTTTGTTTTCAGATATATTTAACATAGTTCAAACTTTTACTTAAAACGTTTGAAAGTTTTTCACCTAGTTCCTTATATTTCTTCAGCATACTGTATGTCTGCATATTGACGTTGTAACTAATTACTGTTTGTTGTCAAATATAATTCTCCAAATAACTTTTCAAAATCATTAAAAAATGTAGGCTACTGTGCGTAATGGCTGTCAATTGATTGCGTGCGTCCGTTTGACCAACCATTAAATTATTTTTCAGTTTGGTTTCAAGGCAAGGTGTTTGTTTTGACAAAGGAAGAGAAAGGCTAATGAAGGGGGTAGGGAAAGTTGAGCCGTGTTTTACGCAGTGGGTAATTGAGCAATTTGATTGACATGTGAGTGCCAAAAGGCGCAGACTCTTTCGGATTGGCCGAAGCACACTTCACAATTTCCTCTTGTTTCCAAGCTGCTATACTCCAGGCAGTTATCTTTACAGGCGGTTGTTTGAGTCAGTCGCAGCAGAACGGAACAGAACAGCGGGGGTGCAACAAGAGGAGGCAGGAGTGGAGTTATACTGAAACCTGAAACTTTCTATTCAGAGAACATTTATCCACTGGACTCTTGGAGCTTTTCTCCATTTTCTTTTTCTCTTGTAGCAGGTCTGTTCTATTCTATACTGAAAGCTCCATTGTGAGCTGCATTTTACTTTTATCCTGTAGACTCTCCTCTGTTGTGAACAATGAGGTCCATTGAACCTTTGTGCCGTTGGAGAATCATCCCTCTGGCTTTGACCATGGCAGTGGTATCTATGAGCAGAGCCTCTGAGTATGAATACCTGAGCTGGAAATCGGACTTGTACAATGGTGGCCGCAGCTATGGCAAGCCTCCTCAGTGTGTGGATATCCCAGAGGACCTGAGGCTGTGCCACAATGTGGGCTACAACCAGATGCTGCTGCCTAACCTACTGGAGCATGAGACTATGGCTGAGGTGAAGCAGCAGGCGGGCAGCTGGGTGCCCCTGGTACATAAGAGCTGCCACCCGGGTACCCAGGTGTTCCTCTGCTCCCTGTTTGCCCCAGTGTGCCTGGAGCGTCCCATATACCCCTGCCGCTGGCTGTGTGAGGCTGTACGGGACGGCTGCACCCCTATCATGGAGTCCTTCGGCTTCCCCTGGCCTGAGATGCTCACCTGTGACAAGTTTCCCCAGGATGACGTGTGCATTGCCATGACTGCACCCAACGCCACTGAAGCTACCATGCCCACAGGTAAGGCTATACCTACCTACATACCTAGCTACCTACCTACCTACCTACCAGCAGGCATCATGCCTGTCATATATATATAATAATAATAATAATAATATGCCATTTAGCAGACGCTTTTATCCAAAGCGACTTACAGTCATGCGTGCATACATTTTTGTGTATGGGTGGTCCCGGGGATCGAACCCACTACCTTGGCGTTACAAGCGCCGTGCTCTACCAGCTGAGCTACAGAGGATTTATAAGATCTCTCAGCCTGGTACCAGAACTGAAACTGAGCTATTGCTTGACATAATGCTTAAATAACTGAGGCGTTGGCTAGGAGTTTGTAAGCTGTATTGTTCAATTGACATTACATTCTTCACTTGGAAGCAGTTTTTATTATGATTTATTTTCTATTTGATAAACATTTTAATGCATTTTGTGGATAAAACATGATCATCTGGAATAATTGTGGAATACAAAAACTATTGTGAACACCAACATATTATGCGATAGTGCAGGCTCAACACATTATGCTATAGGGCAGGCTATACAGAGCTGCGGTACTTGACTGAGATAACACTCAGTCACTGCTTTGATATAGTGTGAGAATCAACACCCATGCAGTTCTACAGGCAGCAGAATGTTGTTTCAGGGGTTAAAGTCTGTTTGTTGATCTCAAACCTCATGCTCATTTGCAACCTTTTGGGGTCATTTTCCCCATGACTGCTTAGATTATTTCTAGATCAGATTATCTCAAAGAATATAAGAGCGTTAGTTCAGAGCAATAACTAGGCTTCTCTGTCTTTACCAAGAGAGAACCTCTCTTTCGAGCAAATGTTAAGTTGCTCGCTATTGACAAAGAAGTGATATTGTAATATTGTAATAGTCCTTTAACAGATGGTAGCAATTTATTTCAAGGTGTTTGTTGAATACTGTGAGCCAGTCCAGCCACAGAACTAATAGATTTATTAATGACCATTTTATATTGAGCTCTCAACAACTGACCTCTTCATTTAGAACCCCCCAAAAGTCGCACAGGGCAATTCCACTGTAATAGAGTGATGCTGAGACTTCAATGTTTCACTTTATAATGTATGTTAAACAAAAAACAATGATTGCAAAGTTAAACAAACCTAGGGACTACTTTTAACAATTTCCACAGAACATTTTACAAAAACTAATTTATGGCCTAAACTCACCAAAGGGGAGTGTGTCATTTATTCTAGAATGCACTGTTTTGAATTATAATGACCCAACCGAAGCCGGGCAGGCCGGCGGGCGGGTTGTCCGCTTTGACGTCTCGCTCAATTAGAACTTGTCTCTATTTTTGCACAGTAGTCACACAAAACAATAAACAGTATGTCATTATTAACTTTTTTCTTTGCTCATTCGAATTTGAAGAGGTATCTAAGGGTTGCGGCTTTACCATACATGCTAAATTAGACCAATTGATCCATTTATGGAAACACAACATTGCTATAATCAAAGATGATTGGAGATATGGACTATCCTTCTAGCATAAAGTCACTGCTCTGCCTGTCCCGACCTTTCCAACCGCCTCGCTCTGCTTGCTCTGCCCGCCCGCTTCTGGTGAAGAACAGTGCAGATGCAAAGCTTGGTAACAGAATGACGGTTTGTGCTGTTTGTGCCGTCATTCTGTTACCAAGAATCTGCACTGTTCTTCAAGTAAATGTGTTTTTGTTAAATATTCAGTGGAAATTATTAAAGTAGTCCTTGTGCATAGAGTTGTATGGATTGTTTAACTTTGCAGTCATTGGTTTTTGTTTGACACACATTTTAAAGTGAAGAATCTGAGTCTCAGCATCACTTTGTTAAAACCTCTTAAGGATCGGACCCTTTTTTTCAATTTTCGCCTAAAATGACACCCAAATCTAACTGCCTGTAGCTCAGAACCTGAAGCAAGGATATGCATATTATTGATGCCATTTGAAAGGAAACACTTTGAAGGTTGTGGAAATGTTAAATTAATGTAGGCATATATAACACATTAGATCTGGTAAAAGATAATACAAACAAAAAAACATGCATTTTCTATTTATTATTTTGTTCCATCATCTTTGAAACGCAAGGCCACAATATAATATTGCAGTTTAGACGCAATTTAGATTCTGGCCACTAGATGGCAGCAGTGTGTGTGCAAAGTTTCAGATTGATCCAGTGAAGCATTGCAATACTGGACTATTTTGTATCAAGTCTGGTAATGTAAGTTTACACACTCCCAGGAATGTCATACATGATAGATCATTAGCTTATACACTAACTTTCAAACATCTAGATGGCCGGGCGGGGTGGGTGTGGAGCCAGAGACAGCAGGGGTTCAAACTGTAGAACCCAGTTCCTTCATTTGAATATAAAAATTGATTTTATCAAACAAAACCATGCTACATTTTATCTCTGGGACCCTTAGGATGACAAATCAGAGCAAGATTACTCAATGTAAGTACATTATTTACCTTCAGAGGTGAATGTATCATACCAGTTGCCGTGATAAGATTTTTGTTGTTGTGCACTCTCCTCAAACAATAGCATGGTATTTTTTTCACTGTAATAGCTACTGTAAATTGGACAGTGCAGTTAGACTAACACGAATGTAAGCTTTCTGTCCATATAAGACATGTCTATGTCCTGGAAAGTTTGCTGTTACTTACAACAGTCATGCTAATCACATTAGCTCATGTTAGCTCAACCATCCAGTATAGGGACACCGATCCCGTAGAGGTTAACGTTGGAATTGCACTATAGCTTAATTTGAATAGCAGATACAGTGGTATATGTAAGAGTGAATACCAGAGGGACAACGATGAGAGATTAAAAAAAAATACCCAGGCCATGTCAATTCTACTGATGTAATAAACTGTGTTTCAAGACTACAGTGAACTCCAAAAGACCTCAGGCCCTTGCTGCCTGTCTGTCTAGGGCTCTGATCAAAAGTAGTACACTATAAAGGGAAAAGGGTGCTATTTGGGATGCAGACTCAGTTTTTGGACTGAGTTATGGTCAAAAGGACTTGAACTACCAACAGCTTGGTGGTAACAATGATTTAGACATGTTTTGTAAACAAACAAAAAAATAAAAAATTCAACAGAAATCAATGGTGCAGAAGGCCTTTCACAATCAAAGTTTTGTCTAAAATTCTTGTTCCTGCCATGGGTTGTAGTATGTTATCGCCATGCCAGTGTCCCTTTGCAGGAACTAGTAGAATGTATCTTGGAGCAAGTTGGAAAGGCTGCTCTGCTCTTTAACTAGACAGGTCCCAGAGAAGAGGAAGTACAACCACCTCATCCAGATTTGCTCATAAATTAAAAGGGACTTTCCATCATCAACCTCCTTACGTTTTGATCTACATTGTATAACGTGTCCTGCACAACAGTGTTAGCTTAGTGTTAAAACATTTTGCTCCTTTCTGAACATAAATGACTCTGTCTTACAGCAAATTGATATGGTGACTGGTGACTTAACAGTCCAGCACCGATGAAGAGGTCTTTCTCACTCCATGGTGCTGCAGTTACATGGCACTTACTGTATATCTGAGGTAGTCCCTCTGTAACTGGGACGTGTTGGGTCGAGGGGGGGGGCAGCATGGTGGTGTGTGTGGAGTCAACATGGTGCTGTTTGGGCAGGAGCCCAGCAGCCTGAGAAAAGTCTCCTCTTGGAGCTTTGGGACCACACAGAGATCAACAAGGTGTGCCACAAATGGCACCGTATTCCCTATAGAGTGCACTACTTTTGACCAGGGTCCATAGGGCCCATAGGGCTCTAGTCAAAAGTAGTGCACTACATAGGGAATAAGGTGCCATTTGGAACGCAAGCCCTTACGTTGACAACTTTTTGCAAATCCAATTAGTTTTCCATGTTTATTCAACATTTATATTTTGGGTTGAAATGATGTGGAAACAACATTGATTCAACCAGTTTTTGCCCAGTGGGTCATGTATTTTGATAAAGTTATTTAAAGAGCCTTCATTGTTTTAAATCATAATTTCAAAACATTCAAAAACGTTCAAATGGAACTTGGCTCCTGTAATTGAAAATAAATATGGAACTCTGAGTGGAAGAGTTTCCAGCTTCAGTCAGTCATCTCTCCGTCTGCACAGTCAGTGCATAGTTTGGGAATCTGTTCTGACAGTGATTAATAAGGCCTAATCTTCCTTAAAAGTCTCAAGTAGCAGTGAATGTGTATGTGTGTGTATCTGCATGTGTGCGTGCATGTGCGTTAGAGCTGTGACAGTCATGGAATTTTGGATGATGGTAATTGGCCAGCCAAATGACCGCAGTCTCCGTAATAACCGTTAGAATAGCACACGTACATTTTCTCCTCTCCCCTGCATGTGCTGCCATAGAAATATAATTAATATAAAGGGGCGTCCACATTCAAGTCAGTGATGGCATAATGGGTGGACTGGCGGCCATTGCGAGTGTACCCATAGGAGCAAAGCAGGAAGTAAAAGCAGGAAGTGTACCCATGAATACAGTATGTGCTGTGATTTGTTGATTAAACTCAACTGACATTACAAAAAATACATTCCATTGCATGAGCCACATCAGTTAACATAATTTGAATGAACATTCCACATTACCATGTAAATCATTGCAAATCACAATACCAGTCTTCAGTCAGCTGTTGTTCCAAAAAAAGAAAAAAAGGATTGATGCCGGTTAATTTATTTTCATGACGGCGGTCTTCATCCATAACCGTCAGTTACACGGTTATATGGTAATTGTGACGGCCCTAGTGTGTGTGAGTGTGTGCATTCAGATAAACGTACAGCAAAGACAGCATGCCTGCAGGACAGATTGATTGTGATTGTGTCAAGTTAGCCCAGAGACCCAAAGAGATCAAAACCAATCACCCCATTTACAGTGGAATGATGCTTAGTTCGACTATAGTGTTTGACTGCTGATATCCACTGTCATTTTGTAAATCTAGCAGATAACAAGAAACTTTGTTTACTGGAGGCCATAATTATAGCCTGCTATAAAGGCCCAGGACATTCCAAACTGAGGTCCGGTCAGTCAGATCATTGACCGTTTGATCAATAAGGGTTTTACTGTCAAACGAGAACAAGCTTCACCCAAGTTCGAATAGATACTTTAAAAAAACGAAACACACCAAAGCAACTGACGACCGAGTGTACTCAGCATCTCTGACCAAAATGTCGGCTGTCATCTTCACATAGGTGTTTACATAAGATTTTGTCTGCAAGAGTGATGTGAAGCACAGGCAGATAGATAGTTGGTAAGACAGTGTTAATACCATGGGAAATGAGCTAATGTTGAAGTAAGTAGAGGTGTGAACAATGCTAGGGTCTGTTGGAGGTTCAGTTGTATTGCCTGACAGCTGTTTGAATGGTGATTTCAGGGAGAGAAAAATACATCTACTTGTTTAGGATTGCAAAATCCAGGTAACTTTCCCAAATTCCTAGATATGATAGAAATCCTGGTTGGAGGATACCAGATTTCCTGCTTATCCTTTCACTCTTGTTCAATTTTTTCAGAGCTATGTTACCTGGTGGATTATTGTGTCAGTGCTACATCTCTTACCCTCTAAATAGACTGTCTCTCCTCCCTCCCTTTCACAGGTTATTCCCCCATATGTCCTCCATGTGACAACGAAATGAAAACAGACATAATTCTAGAGCACATGTGTGCCAGCGAGTTTGGTAAGCATCTCCTAACCCTAACACTACCATTTACATACCGAAGACACACATACACACACGCACACACGTTTTGTCAAGACATGTTTTCCTATGGGCTACCATACCTGTGGATCATGTTTGCCAACACCACAGGATAGTAGCCTATACACGTGGAACCACATACAGTAAGCTACAGCAGTATGTTTATCCTTACAGCACTGGAATATATGCCCCAGACAGACCACCTAATGATCCCTTCCTCCCAACCACCTTAGGTCTACAAAGTACATAGTAAGATATTTACATAAACAAGCTTAGAGAAGTTAAAGTGACACTCTTGCCATTAGGGCTCCCGAGTGGCGCAGCGGTCTAAGGCACTGCATCTCAGTGCTTGAGGTGTCACTACAGACTCCCTGGTTCGATTCCAGGCTGTATCCCAACCGGCCGTGATTGGGAGTCCCATAGGGCAGCGCACAATTGGCCCAGCGTCGTCCGGGTTTGGCCGGTGTAGGCCGTCATTGTAAATAATAATAATAATAATAATAATAATATGCCATTTAGCAGACGCTTTTATCCAAAGCGACTTACAGTCATGCGTGCATACATTTTTGTGTATGGGTGGTCCCGGGGATCGAACCCACTACCTTGGCGTTACAAGCGCCGTGCTCTACCAGTTGAGCTACAGAGGACCACGAATTTGATCTTAACTGACTTGCCTAGTTAAATAAAGGTGTAAATAAATTAGGTTTTCTTACTTACATGCATTCCCGACTCTTGCCATTCTGGTTACAGTAATGAGCTTGGTGCTTTATCCCAGCTATAGATGATGGCCCATTGCACTGCACAGTCATCTCTTTGTATGATATTAAAAGGGAGGTCTTTAGTGGGGTTAATCAGTCTATTGGAAACAAAAGGACTCTGAAAAGAAAAGCAAGTTAATGTAGATAAACAGTAAGACAAACAGAAAAGAGACCCAAAGAGAGGTCTAAGTCACTGCATCGCAGTGCTAGCTGTGCCACTAGAGATCCTGGTTCGAATCCAGGCTCTGTCGTAGCCGGCCGCGACCGGGAGACCCATGGGGCGGCGCACAATTGGCCCAGCATCGTCCAGGGTAGGGGAGGGAATGGCCGGCAGGGATGTAGCTCAGTTGGTAGAGCATGGCGTTTGCAACGCCAGGGTTGTGGGTTCGATTCCCACGGGGGGGCAGTATGAAAAAAAATAAAAAATAAAAAAATAATGTATGCACTCACTAACTGTAAGTCGCTCTGGATAAGAGCGTCTGCTAAATGACTAAAATGAAATGAAAAAATGAAAAAGGGATCAGTTTGACAATAAATCTCATAGAGGCTCATGGATTTAGTTCCAGCTGACTGTAGATTTACAAGGTGAAGAAAGAACCAACTTACTTTCTTCTACTGCCCTATAGCATAGTGATGTATGACCATAAACATGCTTTACGTGTCAAAGGTCCAAGCATATTTTCAGCAAAGAAGGGTTTCGTTTTCCAGAAGATTTGCACAATTTCATGCTTGTTGGATGGATGGGACATTATTATTTTAAACCAACTTTCATTATCAGAGAATTGATGTGGCTTTGTCCAACATTTCACAGAGGCTACTCTCTGACAATGCTCAGGGTAATTGTTCTGTCTGAGAATATGAAATTGAAAAGATTGACAATTTGTAAACTTCTGGGGATCATTCCTTCAGACGTAACGGATTGACACGCCAACTGACCACCAAGTAAACTGATGTGAACGATCTTGAGAAAGATTCTCTTGAGAAAGTAGAGTTGACCTTGTTTTCTTGCCCATACAAATTATGCTTAATTCTCACAGCTTTACATATCAACTGGAAAGAAAAACAGAGCTGGGGAGTTTTTAACCTCTGTGAATCCATGTCACAGTTTGTATTACCCTTTTAAAGGCTAATATTCTGTAACTAATGAATTGGGGCCCTAAAGTCTTCATTTAGCAGGTATTTAAAGCTGTAAATCGGGATGTTTGTTTTGCTGTCTGGCCTTCTGGAGGTGTCAGGAGGGTTGTACTTTAAAGCTTAATTCCTATTGGTCCATATCACAGACTGTCTGATGTCACATGTATGGGCATGTCTTTATGCCATCCTATCCACAGGGCGTCAATGCAGAGTAGCAACAGCTGTTGGAATGTTTTGTTTTTCTATGCAATTAAAATGCATTGATAGTTTCTTGCATGCAGGGACACTGTAAATTCAACCCACCTTGAGACAGTGATTGTATGCAGTGAGAATGTGCATAAGTTTACAGGATGCTGTGCCTTATTTTTTATTGCTTGAAGCTCGCCTCCCAAGTTTTTGGTGGTTTCCAAATCAATTCCAAGCAGCAGACCTTGGGAAGACAGACTTTGTGCATTAAAAACACGTTTTCTTTCAGAGTGGTTCTCAGGGAAAGCTAATACACAAAGTTATGTATTTTAAATGAAGTGTCCCATTGTTACACTGTAATGATGGGCCTCACTTTTCTGTCCTCAGAAACCATCCCTGGTTTGCCAAGCAAGAGTAGCACATTATTGGTCTATTTCATCTATGATTAAGACAGATGTTATTTTGATTCCTTGTCATAATCTCTTTAACGCTTGATGTCTGAGCTTATCCAGGCAGGCTGAGCATGGCCGCTGACAATGGCGGTTAAATGAGACTGTTATTGCAACCATTAGACCCAATCACAGCAGGAGTGGCCCACAAAGGGAGAGTCCCAACTCCCATGAGAAAAAACAGGGCTCATGTCCCAAATGGCTCCCTATTCCCTATAAAGTGCACTACTTTTGATCATGGCCCAAAGGGCTCTGTTATGTAGGGAATAGGGTGCCATTTGGGACATAGGCAGGCGCTGCTTACAGTGTGGCAATGCCATGGGCTATTGTGGTTAGTTTGCTTTGCTTTGTTTTGCTTTGCTCTACCGGTTGGGCAACATGTAAACAAGCAATGTTTATGCTCCCTAGAGATGTTCTAATTGACTAAAGAAATGAGAATGCAGGCTTCTAAGATGGCTGCCACAGGTTAATCAATAACTGAAGCAGTAACCTATGCTTTTAGCTTGATTACACTTCTGGAGGGACAAAAACGAGGTCATGTTTTTTTTTAAGCGTTAACATTGTGCAGATTTTATTATTTTAATTTGTCTGACGTGATATTCCTCTGAACTGGCATGAGCCGCCCTTATTTTGCCCTAAAACTGGGGCTTGACTCGAAAACCACTATTACAGTGGGGGAAAAAAGTATTTAGTCAGCCACCAATTGTGCAAGTTCTCCCACTTAAAAAGATGAGAGAGGCCTGTAATTTTCATCATAGGTACACGTCAACTATGACAGACAAATTGAGAGAAAAAAATTCCAGAAAATCACATTGTAGGATTTTTAATGATTTTATTTTTTAAAATTATGGTGGAAAATAAGTATTTGGTCACCTACAAACAAGCAAGATTTCTGGCTCTCACAGACCTGTAACTTCTTCTTTAAGAGGCTCCTCTGTCCTCCACTCGTTACCTGTATTAATGGCACCTGTTTGAACTTATCAGTATAAAATACACCTGTCCACAACCTCAAACAGTCACACTCCAAACTCCACTATGGCCAAGATCAAAGAGCTGTCAAAGGACACCAGAAACAAAATTGTAGACCTGCACCAGGCTGGGAAGACTGAATCTGCAATAGGTAAGCAGCTTGGTTTGAAGAAATCAACTGTGGGAGCAATTATTAGGAAATGGAAGACATACAAGACCACTGATAATCTCCCTCGATCTGGGGCTCCACGCAAGATCTCACCCCGTGGGGTCAAAATGATCACAAGAACGGTGAGCAAAAATCCCAGAACCACACGGGGGGACCTAGTGAATGACCTGCAGAGAGCTGGGACCAAAGTAACAAAGCCTACCATCAGTAACACACTACGCCGCCAGGGACTCAAATCCTGCAGTGCCAGACGTGTCCCCCTGCTTAAGCCAGTACATGTCCAGGCCCGTCTGAAGTTTGCTAGAGTGCATTTGGATGATCCAGAAGAGGATTGGGAGAATGTCATATGGTCAGATGAAACCAAAATAGAACTTTTTGGTGAAAACTCAACTACTGTGAAGCATGGGGGTGGACACATCATGCTTTGGGGCAGTTTTCTGCAAAGGGACTAGGACGACTGATCCGTGTAAAGGAAAGAATGAATGGGGCCATGTATCGTGAGATTTTGAGTGAAAACCTCCTTCCATCAGCAAGGACATTGAAGATGAAACGTGGCTGGGTCTTTCAGCATGACAATGATCCCAAACACACCGCCCGGGCAACGAAGGAGTGGCTTCGTAAGAAGCATTTCAAGGTCCTGGAGTGGCCTAGCCAGTCTCCAGATCTCAACCCCATAGAAAATCTTTGGAGGGAGTTGAAAGTCTGTGTTGCCCAGCGACAGCCCCAAAACATCACTGCTCTAGAGGAGATCTGCATGGAGGAATGGGCCAAAATACCAGCAACAGTGTGTGAAAACCTTGTGAAGACTTACAGAAAACGTTTAACCTGTGTCATTGCCAACAAAGGGTATATAACAAAGTATTGAGAAACTTTTGTTATTGACCAAATACTTATTTTCCACCATAATTTGAAAATAAATTCTTTTAAAATCCTACAATGTGATTTTCTGGGGGTTTTTCTCTCATTTTGTCTGTCATAGTTGACGTTTACCTATGATGAAAATTACAGGCCTCTCTCGTCTTTTTAAGTGGGAGAACTTGCACAATTGGTGGCTGACTAAATACTTTTTTCCCCCACTGTATATGGCGTGAAAGATCTGTCATTCATTTTGTCAGAGGCAAGAGATGTGAGTAAAATGTGGAAGCAATTATGACATGATTTGATCTGTTTTGACCTCAATGAAGCATCTGGTCATGTCAGTTGTGACTTGTGAGCTAATCTATTATTACGCTTTCATCAAGGCACTTTTAGTCAGACCAAAATGGGTCAGAGGGAGGGATAGCTTATAATAGACGTAGATTAATAAGTTAAGTGCACTACTCTATACTTTCACTATTAAATATAGTGCTGGATGCTGAATGTATCACTTTTTATCACTACTATTCACATAAAGGGTACTTGTATATGCCCATATATTTACATGTACAGTATAACTGTAGAGACAACAGCATAACCTTAGTCAAAATGTACCTATACCAGGCCTAACTTCAGACTGTAGTTGATAGGTTACCTCAGTCAGGGCAGCAAGCTGGAGGAATCTGTGACTTACATCGAAGTCCGTTTTATTTATCTGCGTGGACTAATCATGTCAGAAATATGCCTCCGCTGGCACAGAATGAGCATTTTTGCTCACTGAAACACTCAGTTCCTGGAAACATCTCATTGCGAAAGGTCTGTTCTCATTTAACATGAAAGTTAAGTGTGAAAGAGAGGCTTATTAATATTGTGTGCCATTGTTTGAAGTCATGAATAATTGCCTCCTTCCAATCTCACAATCACATTTTGACATTCTCAGGCGAGTTTATCTTGATGAAGTTGGAATATTTTGAGACAAGAGGCAAGAGTTGTTTTATGCTTTGTGGTTGGATACAGGACAATCTGGCAGAGGAAGAATAAATGTGTTTAAAAAAGTCATGGAGGAATATAATTAGTATTTTTTTTTAAAGTAGAAGTGGATGGTTCTTGAAGGTCTGTGTGACCATAGTGTATGTACTATAATAGATGCCATTTAGCAGAGACCTGAGTAGTGACCGCAGTTTGTTTGAGCAACTGAACTGCATTTTCAGCTCCAATTGAAGAATGAAGATGCAAAGACAAACAACAGAATCCACAGTTCAGTTAACCAACGTTACGTGTTGGTGACCATGATCAACCATGAGGAAGATAACACTCTAGCTAGTTAAAACCTTCCCAGTCCCTGGTCCCTCAGAGATCCTGATTAATCTGTTTCTTTTTATTTGATTTTACAGTGCATTCGGGAGGTATTCAGACCCCTTGACTTTTTCCAGCCTTATTCTAAAATTTATTAAATTGTTTTTTTCTTCATCAATCTACACACAATAACACATAATGACAAAGCAAAAACAGGTTTTTAGAATATTTTGCAAACTTATAAAAAATAAAAAACGGATATCACATTTACAGAAGTATTCTGACTCTTTACTCAGTACTTTGTTGAAGCACCTTTGGCAGCGATTACAGCCTCGAGTCTTCTTGTGTATGACGCTACAAGCTTGGCACACCTGTACAGTGGGAAAAATAAGTATTTGGTCACCTACAAACAAGCAAGATTTCTGGCTCTCACAGACCTGTAACTTCTTCTTTAAGAGGCTCCTCTGTCCTCCACTCGTTACCTGTATTAATGGCACCTGTTTGAACTTGTTATCAGTATAAAAGACACCTGTCCACAACCTCAAACAGTCACACTCCAAACTCCACTATGGCCAAGACCAAAGAGCTGTCAAAGGACACCAGAAACAAAATTGTAGACCTGCACCAGGCTGGGAAGACTGAATCTGCAATAGGTAAGCAGCTTGGTTTGAAGAAATCAACTGTGGGAGCAATTATTAGGAAATGGAAGACCACTGATAATCTCCCTCGATCTGGGGCTCCACGCAAGATCTCACCCCGTGGGGTCAAAATGATCACAAGAACGGTGAGCAAAAATCCCAGAACCACACGGGGGGACCTAGTGAATGACCTGCAGAGAGCTGGGACCAAAGTAACAAAGCCTACC